TATTCTCTTCCCTGCTCAGACAATTCCGTCCTCCTGGCCTTTGCAATGTTCCATAAACACACCGGGCATCCTCCTGCCTCAGGGCCTTTGTATATGCTCTCCTTGGTCCCTGGGACAGAGGCCCATCTTTACCAACTTTTATAAAAGCCCCTCTCAACACTTCCTGCTTTACTTTTTTCTCAGCATTTACTGTTGTTCTACGTAGATTTACTTATTTACTTTGCTCTCAAGCTCTATCAGGGCAGGAATTTTTTGTCTGTTTCACTCACTACTGTGTTCTTAGTGCTTAAGATAGTGCCTAGCAGAGAGCGGATGTGCAATGAATATTTGCTGAATGAATTAATTATCATGAAGATGGTATGATTTATACAATTAGAGTTATTTTGTAAACACCTGATGATATGAGTTTTCCCCTATGTTCTGCATAATTCTAAAGAAGAAGGGTGCTCCTTTAATCTAATTGGTACTCGTACATCCCAAAGTCATCCACAACCCTTATAAAAAGGAAAAGACAAACCTCACTGATACTGATTTCAAAACGGGTACCAAAGAGTCAATGATGGACACAAAATTAAAAATGAAAAAAAAAACTAAAATAGAAAATGTGGGTTTATAAATATGAGTTTACCTTTAAAGAAGAGAGTCTCTTTAAATAGATAGTTGACCAAAAAATTGACAGTTGAGAAGAAAATCACTTGGATTTGATACTTTATTTGGGAACTTGGTCATCAATTGTTTTCTCTGAACTAGTATGAGAGATGAGTTACAGAATGTTAAAGACCCAGGGTGCTGAAGCAAGCACTTACCTATTGACTGACCAGGTAGGGGGTTAAGTTCTCAAGAAAAATGAAATTTGACTGGATCCTCACTTTTATCATGAATCAAAGGTTTTCCTGACTGTGTTATAGGAGATGAGGATTCTCCTATTAAACGTCAACTATAGATCCCGTCTTTGCTGATTTGGACACAAAAGCTTCTAAGGCTGTGAAGTATTTTCTGTAATTATTGGACATCATGACACACAACTAATGAAGAAGATACTAATAATTCATAAAATTTATTCAGTGTTCATCGTTTCAGGTATACATGGATTCACAGGAAGTCCCCTGGGTTTTCTTTTTCACCTTGAACTAAATTCTTTGTTTTATGTATAAAAGGTGGAAATTACTTCTGGAAATTGAAATAGCTATTAAAATTGCTGGCTTTCTATTGCAGCTGTTTATGAGAACACTTGATTTAAATAAAAGTGTTTCTGCGTGCAAGAGTACACTCAGTCATGTTCAACTCTTTGTGACCCCCCTGGATTGTAGCTCTCCAGGCTCCTCTGTCCATGGGATTCTCCAGGCAAGAATACTTATGCCATGCCCTCCTCCAGGGGATCTTCCTGACCCAGGGATCGAACCCACATCTCTTGCATCTCCTGCACTGATAGGTAGATTCTTTACCACTGTGCCACCTGAGAGCTCAAAAATGCTTCTGAAGGTTTAATAAAATGCATCTCTTTTTTTAAAAAAAATGGAGATGCAGATTTTCTGTTTATACAAGGGACATTTTATTTTAATTGATTATGACAGGGAAAATTAAATTAGCTATAATTTCCTGCTGCCTCTAAGCAAGGAAGATCCTGCAGAGACCCTTTTTCTGCTGAGCTGGCTGAGACCATGAAAATACAAAGCAGAGCTTGGAGATGGAGCTGAGAGTCAAACTGTGCGGAGTGTGGGCCACAGGGAATGCTGCCTAGGGAGAAGCTTCCAAAAGGAGCAAGACCAAGCTTCTGGTAGTGGATAGAACACTGCAGGGAAGCTGCCTCCAAGAGAAGAACTTTTGGGGGAAAGAGGAGAAAGAGATGCTTAGATAAGTGTTTATTTTTTAATTAGAGTATAATTGCTTTTAATATTATATTGGTTTCTGCCACTCATCACATGAATCAGTCAGAGGTATACGTATGTCCCCTCCCTCTTGAGCCTGCCTCCCAGCCCTCTAGGTTGTAAGACAGCACCAGGCTGAGCTCTCTGCATCACATGGCTAATTCCCACTGGTTATCTATTTTACATACGGTAATACACATGTTTCAGTGCTACTCTCTCAACTCCCACCCTCTCCTTCCTCCTGTGTCCACAAGCCTGTTCTCTACGTCTGTGTCTCTATTGCTGCCCTGCAAATAGGTTCATCAGTACCATTTTTCTAGATTCCATATACATGCATTAATATACCATATTTGTTTTTCTCTTTTTGACTTACTTCACTCTGTATGACAGGCTCTAGGATCATCCACCTCACTAGAACTGACTCAGATTCGTTCCTTTCTACGGCTGAGTAATATTCCATTGTGTAGATGTATCGCAACTTCTTTATGTGTTCATTAGGTAAGTGCTGAATGAAGTCTGCCATATGGTGATATCACTCTCTCCAACTGCTATTATTTCCATACATTAAAATAAATACCTAGCTATTAAAATTTTTAAAACTTAGAACCAAACAAAATTATTGCCAACCACTAAGCTCATATGAGCCATCCATCTAACATACTCTGGTCAACTCTGGACGGCACAGCAAAACGGCACGTTAGAAGGCAGAGGACCCCTCCTCAGCTACCCACTCTAATTCTGGCAGCTGAATACTGCAGTACAGAAGACTTTCAGGAAACACACGGGAGAGCTGTCAACTCTTTAGTAACATACAGTATTTGGAAAAGTATTAGGCTTTTTGAGTTTTAACGTTTCAAAGTCATGAAATGACACTGAAAAGACCTACACAAAAGAAGCTCCAGAAATGGAGAGAACAGCGACGAAGCTTAAAATATAAATCTTTCATTAACTGAACAAAGCTACTTAGTTTTAACAGGAATCAAAACTTTATTTTTCTAGATTCCATATACATGCATTAATATACCATATTTGTTTTTCTCTTTTTGACTTACTTCACTCTGTATGACAGGCTCTAGGATCATCCACCTCACTAGAACTGACTCAGATTCGTTCCTTTCTACGGCTGAGTAATATTCCATTGTGTAGATGTATCGCAACTTCTTTATGTGTTCATTAGGTAAGTGCTGAATGAAGTCTGCCATATGGTGATATCACTCTTTCCAACTGCTATTATTTCCATACATTAAAATAAATACCTAGCTATTAAAATTTCTAAAACTTAGAACCAAACAAAATTATTGCCAACCACTAAGCTCATATGAGCCATCCATCTAACATACTCTGGTCAACTCTGGACGGCACAGCAAAACGGCACGTTAGAAGGCAGAGGACCCCTCCTCAGCTACCCACTCTAATTCTGGCAGCTGAATACTGCAGTACAGAAGACTTTCAGGAAACACACGGGAGAGCTGTCAACTCTTTAGTAACATACAGTATTTGGAAAAGTATTAGGCTTTTTGAGTTTTAACGTTTCAAAGTCATGAAATGACACTGAAAAGACCTACACAAAAGAAGCTCCAGAAATGGAGAGAACAGCGACGAAGCTTAAAATATAAATCTTTCATTAACTGAACAAAGCTACTTAGTTTTAACAGGAATCAAAACTTTGACAGAGTCAGAATGGAACACAGGAAGGACTTTCGTTATTTCAGATCAGGTGGCAATTCAGATCTTTTATTTTTTTATATAAAAATTCTAAAACTTAGAATAAAACATGAAGAAATAACTTTTAGGGATAAAACATTAATGCACTATTAATGTTAAGAAAAGAATACACAACTGTCTACTGGATACCAACATACAACTTATCTAAAGAACAAGGTTTATCAAATGTATATTCCAGTGGGTATAGGAAAGATTTGCCAGAATCCCACAAAAATGGAAAAAGTAACATATTTAATTCTGTTTGTTGCTCTGGGGAAACTCCAACTGAAGCAGTCTTTTGAGCAATCTGTGTCCACTTTTCTGAGAATGAGAACCTGTTCCCTTAAGGCCATACTCATATCACCGTTTTTCTGATTCTCTTTTTGGAGACATTCCAGAAAAACACTGCTTCTATTTTATAAACGCTCCAGGGTTGAGGCTTGTCCAGCAGAAATGAAAAAACCCTATTTACCAGAAGTGTCCCAGGAACAGCATGCAACCTTTCCTGTACAAAGAAAACAGGGATGCCTGACTTCAAAGATCCATCCTTCAGCCTTGAAGAGAAGAATCAGAAGCAAACACTTTTAATTGCAACATGTTCTTCTTGACTATGAAAAACTCCAGAAGCTGTGCACAATGTTTAGGGAAAATGTGAGAGGAGTTATGCAATCTGGCAAACAGGGCCAAGTTCTAGAAAAGTGCACAGCGTTTCTGGGTACACAACAGGCCCACTGTGGATTATTATCAGAGGCCTGGCTGGGTCTCTTACACCTTCCTCAAAACTTCCCCTGTGGAGGAGGAGGGGAGGGGGAAGAGTAAACACTGATAACGTAACCCTTGAGTTTGGGAACCTGATGAAACATCCTGAACATGTCTCAAAACCAGAATCACTTTGTAAGTCTCGGCTATTTTTGGTCAAATCATCCAGACAGTCTCTTCTGGTGTGTGAGGATACCCAAACCCATGATGTTTTCTGAAATGTAAAAAGAGCCTCCAGGGTCAGCTGACTGCATTTTATCCAAAGTTTTTTTTTTTAATCCATGCAAATACCGGGTTGGCCAGAAAGTTCATTCAGGCTTTCTGTAAGATGATATGGAAAACCTGAGTGAACGCTTTGGTCAACCCGACAGAACCCACCGTTAACATAGAGAGGCAGCAGATGTAGGAAGTCAGGTAAAGTAACACTTTGAAACAATCCATTTAATTGGAATATTTTGATTTTTATGAAATCTTTGGATATCAAAATGCTCTCAAAGGCAAACTGTGCTGCAGAAGTCTAATTGCTAGAAAATTCTCCACACACTGCAGATTGGCAAAGCCTCAGAAAATGAAACATTCAGTTACTCTACTAACTGCTTATTTTTTAAATTGTCTCTTGGTATGAACTGACATATATATATACTTTTCTCATTCAGGCAAACCATTTACCTCTTTCTCCATCTGTAATCCTTCTGCTCTAATGTTTCTTTCAAACACTTCTCTCTTTTCCATCTGGGGGTTGGATTTTCTGTACACGAGAATGTAGTCAATTCGACATTTCCCGTCTCTGAAGTAAAGGCCATTTAATTTGTTTTTTTCTGGTACTGTCTGCACACAAAGAGAAAGGGACCAGTTTAAGACACTCAAAACTGAGCCTTGACTGAGTAATGTTAAAGAATAATTAAAACTAAATGAATTTTCCTTGTGTTTTGTCAAAATTACACTTTTATTAATGAAAAATGTAAACAACAGAAAACAAAATAAAAATCAGAAAAAGCATTCAGTCTAATGAACAAAACTTAAAGACACCCAATGATACCAAAAGTTGCCAAGGATGTGGAGCAACTGACATTCTACCGGTGAGAGTGAAAACTGATGTACTAACACCTGAAAACACACTAACATCATCATGTAAAATTGAACACTGGCATATATAACCCTAATAAATTCCTGACAAACCAGGAGATGTGTATATGAATGTTCACAGCAGCATCATTCATAAGAGAAAAAATTTTAAATGGGAATCAATGCTTATCAATGAAGAGGCAAACATACATAAATTGTATAGGCACATAGTAGAATATTATACAGCAGGAAAAAAGAACTACTGATGCATCTTACAGTAAGCAAAATCTTAAAAACAATATTGACAGAAGAATGCAAGTCACAGAAGACTTTATACTGCATGATACCATTTTTTACAAAGCACAAAACAAATCAATATAAAATAAGTTGCTAAGGATACATATGTATGCATGGTAAAATGATTTTTAGAGCAAGGTAATAAAAAACACAAAAATTCAGGAAGACAGTCCATCTGGCAGGGGAGAAGGATGAGACTACATGTAGTTTGATGGTTTTAGTAATATTTTTTAGTTCAGTGTCTCTCAAACTTTTTTGCCCACCATAGTAAATATTTTTCTTTGTGATATTTGTGTATTCAGTTATAAACAGCACAAGGATTAAATCTGCTTGTAACTTATAGTTAGAGCAGGATCTTCACATCCATAGTTTCTCCACACTGTGGTTACAACCACATACTATATGGTACTATAATATCTATTATTGAAAAACATCCACAGATAGATGGACCCACATAGCTCAAATCCACATTATTCAAGGGTCAACTGTATGTGTAAACACAAAAAAATTTGAGATCACAGTATATATCAGTTTCTAAATAGCAGTATGAGGAAAGAAAATATGCCAGACCTCCAAGGCTATTGCTAGAGTCCATATTCTTGCAGCAGTGCCATGCATGCAACCTCATTCAAAAGGAACATCTTAGCTGGGAGAGATGGAAATAACATCTCATACCTGGGCAGGTATTTATAACTGATGATCAATCTTCACTATTTCTGGCTTCTGTTCAGAAGCCCACCCAAATAAACACTTTCTTAGCAATCATCTGCCAGGCAAGGGAACTATTCAGTAGATTTAGCACATTACCGTCTATCTGCAAAACCAGCCAAGGCTTCAAGAGAAGGTTTAGCAAAGCCCTAATCTCCTTGAGAATGTTCAATCACCTCTAAATTAAGGGGAATAGACTATCTGCTTTGTGAGGTACCTTTCAAGGTCCTTCCTTTGTGCCATATTATGGTATCCAAAGTTTCTGTGTGAAGAAATGCTGACAGAATGAGTTTTTTTCTTAAAACACACACACACAGATAAGTAGTGTATGGTGTTTATAGAAAGAGATCTGGGAAGTTTGATAGAAGTAAACAATTTTTCCTGCTCAAAGGTATTATCCTTTCACTGGCTAACAGCCTCTGGAATAACAGCAGCATTAAGAATACACAATAAATTAATGACTCTGATCTGTGATGCTATTACTTAAACCTAATACATATACAAGTGTCAGCTGCTTAGTCACATCTAACTCTTTGCGACCCCGTGGACTGTAGCCCACAGGCTCCTCTGTCCTTGGAATTCTCCAGGCAAGAATACTGGAGTGGATCCCTTCTCTAGCGGATCTTTCTGACCCAGGGATCAAACCTGGGTCTCCTGCATTGCAGGCAAATTCTTTACCTACCATCTGAGCTTCAAAATCATTGCAGATGGTGACTGCAGCCATGAAATTTAAAGATGCCTGCTCCTTGGAAGAAAAGCTATGACTAANCACTGACTCAATGGACACGAGTTTGAGTAAACTCTGGGAGTTGATGATGGACAGGGAGGCCTGGCGTGCTGCAGTCCACGGAGTTGCAAAGAGTCAGACACGACTGGGCGACTGAACTGAACTAAGCCACTAGGAAAGCCCATATACAAAGTGCATATACAAAGAAGATATTAAACTCCACTGAGACACAGCTGAGCAACAGCGAATGCTTTCAACAAAATACTTTTTCCCCTCTAAATAACACATGAACAGATGGTCTGTATATAATTGCAATGAGTTTCTGTAATCTTAGTTTCCAGATTACAGAGGCAAATGGAAACTCAAAGAGGCTACAGACAACACAGTCTACGGAGGGCTGGTCCACTTTACATCATTGTTCCACATGACGGGAGATTTCAACAGGGAATCCATTCTTTGGATTCTAGCTAACTTTTGACTAGTTAGCTAACTTTTGACTAGTTAGCCATACCTAAAATGTAAATCATTTTAAAATGATGAGTGTTTTTGAACATCTTCTTTGTATAAGCTAAATGCCTTTAGCTATAAGAGAAGTGCATGACCCACTGAAAGTCTGTTTTGAGCTAGGTAGATTTAGGATTCCTGAAATGTGCTAGACCCCCAGAGGTTTTCAAAAGCGTGTAAGATTTCACCCCTTCTTTCCCCCTAGGAGCCCCCAGTTCAATGAGATGACTTTAAACAATCCACTGGAATATGCTTCTCCAGTTCTGGCATGGATCAAGAATTTTGTTTTTATGAAATGGCATACTCTTACCTCTCCCCTGGCTTCCAACCTGCTAGCATCATCTGAAGTGCTGGTAAGATTTCCAGGGTGAAGGAGAGAGTCGTCATCTTTGCAAGGACTGTTGACAGCTTCTAATTCATCAAAAAGAATATTGACATCCTTGGCCACTAGAACCAAAGTAAATACATTACAAGTCAAGTCAAGAATCTGGGATCTTAAAAGCAATACTGCAAGTAAAGACATCTCCCTCTGGCTTCATAGTTTTTCATTGTTTCAATTACACCTTGAATGACAGATATATTATTTCCAAAGAAAAATGGACGTCAACTGTAAAATGTGTTTAACCAAACAGTGTCTTCATTAGGCCAAGGTGAAAGACAATGTGAAGTAAAGTGAAGTATCTCCACAATATACATATAATTTGTCTTCCATGATAACAAAAGTGATAAAAAAAAGTGATAAAAAAAGTGTTGTTTTGTTTAGCTTTCCTTCATATAGTTGTTTAGCATGGGTTCTTTAAGACTTCAAAGAACTCATTTTGCATATTTTTAAAACTTTTTAATTGGAGGATAATGGCTTTACAAGGCTGTGTTGGTTCCTTATGTACAACAATGTCAATCTGCTATAAGAATACATATGTTCCCTTCCTCTTAAGCCTCCTTCCCACCCACCCCCACCCCCATCCCGGTCACCACAGAGCGCCAAGCTGAGTTCCCTATGCTATCCAGCAGCTTTCCCCTAGCTATCTGTTTTACACGTGGTGGTGTATATATGGGCTTCAGTGCTCCTGTCTCAATTCGTCCCACCCTCTCCTTTCCCCACTGAGCCCACAAGTCCATTCTCTACATCTGCATCTCTATCACTGCCCTGCAAACAGGTTCACCAGAATCATTTTTTCTAGATTTCATACATATGTGTTAATACACGATATTCATTTTTCTCTTTCTGACTTACTTCACTCTGTATAATGGGCTCTAGATTCATCCACCTGATGACAACTGACTCAAATTTGTTCTTTTCTATGGCTCAGTAATATTCCATTGTATATATGTATAGCAACTTAAGATCTCATTTTGTATTAGAGAATACAAAAAACAAATTTTTTTTTGTTTTCATTTAAATGCTTCCATGTCTTACCTACTATAAATAGGGTTGCTATGAGCACTGGGGTGCGAGTATCTTCCAGGTACAGTTTTCGTCTTTTCTGGACATATGCCCAGCAAGGGGCTCACTGGATCACATGACAACTTTTAGTTTTTAAGGAACCTCCGTTCTGTTCTTCATAGTGGCTGCATTTGCTCACATTCTCACCAACGGGGGGGTGGGGCATTCCTTTTACTCCACACCCTCTCTAGCATTTATTGTTTGCAGATTTTTTGATGATGGACATTCAGACCAGTATGAGGTGATACTGTATTGTAGTTCTGATTTGCATTCTCTGGTAATTAGCAGTTCTCTTTCTGACTTACTTCACTCTGTATAATGGGCTCTAGATTCATCCACCTGATGACAACTGACTCAAATTTGTTCTTTTCTATGGCTCAGTAATATTCCATTGTATATATGTATAGCAACTTAAGATCTCATTTTGTATTAGAGAATACAAAAAACAAATTTTTTTTTGTTTTCATTTAAATGCTTCCATGTCTTACCTACTATAAATAGGGTTGCTATGAGCACTGGGGTGTGAGTATCTTCCAGGTACAGTTTTCGTCTTTTCTGGACATATGCCCAGCAAGGGGCTCACTGGATCACATGACAACTTTTAGTTTTTAAGGAACCTCCGTTCTGTTCTTCATAGTGGCTGCATTTGCTCACATTCTCACCAACGGGGGGGTGGGGCATTCCTTTTACTCCACACCCTCTCTAGCATTTATTGTTTGCAGATTTTTTGATGATGGACATTCAGACCAGTATGAGGTGATACTGTATTGTAGTTCTGATTTGCATTCTCTGGTAATTAGCAGTGCTGAGCATCTGTTGGCCATCTGTCTGTCTTCTTTGGAGTAATGTCTGTTTAGGTCTTCTACCCATTTTTTTGATTGAGTTTTATTTTGTTTGTTTATTTGTTATACTGACCTGTATAAACCTGTTTATATATTTTGGAAATTAAGCTTTGGCCAGTCACATTATTTGCAAATATTTTCTCTTGAGTTCATAGGTTGTCTTCTCATTTTGTTTATGGTTTTCTTTGCTGTGCAAAAGTTTTTAATTAAGTTCATTTGCTTATTTTTGCTTTTGGGGTCCCTTCTATACTTACTTAAATTTTAGAACAACACTGAAGTTCACTTTGTCTTTGGTGCTTTAAAAATAACTAAGGATTTTTGACCTATTGGAAGCTGCTGACTAGTATAATTCATAGAAGACTGAGTTCTATTTGCCCAAGCATATAAAAGAGTATCCGTTCTTTCATCCAAAACAATTTTAAAGGTGTGCACACTGTGTCAGGCAGAGATGTGCAGTGACTGAATCTTGGTGAGTAAAAGTGATGAGTCTTCCTGCCCTTGTGGTAATAACAAAACAAATAATCAAAGAAATGTGAAGTGCGGTGAGTGATATGAAGAACAAGAGTTTAACGGGGTGACCAGGATCCAAGTGTGTGATTTTGGGCAATTCATTTAACTGCAAGTTTTTAATCTGTAAAATAAAATTGACACAGGAATAAAATGAACATTTATTGCTTACTGTAGCAGGCTGAACCATGGCCCCCAAATGTGACCTAATCCCTGGAATGTACGACTGTATAAAGTTATATGGGAAAAGGGACTTCACAGATGCAAGGATCTTAAACTGGGGAGATTATCCAGGATTATATGGATAGGGCCATGTAATTACAAGAGAGACAGGAAGGTCAGAATCAGATAAAGACACTGGAAGACACGATGCTGCTGAGTTTGATAATAGAGGACAAGGTCACAAGTCAAGGAATGCATGGGTGACCCTAGAAGATAGAAAAGGCAAGAAAGCAGATTCTTGCCCAGAACCTCTGGAAAGAACTCAGTCTTGCTGACACCTTGAAGATGTCTGACCTTCAGAACTGTAAGATAAGAAATCTGTGCTGTTTCAAGTTACTAAGTTTGTGGCAATTTGTTACAGCAGCAAAAAAAAGGAACTAATATAGTTACTAGAGGTTTTTAGGCTTTGAGGCTACAAATGAAAAACATCAAGGTCTTTTCATACAACCAAGGCTTAAGAGCATCTACACTGGATCAGGTGCTCAAGTAGAAGCACTGACATATTTGAGGAAGCATGTTGTGGGAGGTGTTGTGGGAGATGTCAAGGTCAAAGACCACTTCCCTGACCACCCTGATGTAAAGAAGCTGCCCTTCACCCAGGTACCCTCCATCTCCTCTCTCGGCTCATTTCCATCTCCTCTCTCGGCTCATTTCCTTCCCAGCATGTATCACAGTCTGAATTATTTATTCATTTGTTTTCTTAAATGCTGGATGTCTACCCTATTAGAACTTAAGTTCCAAAAGAACAGAGACCCTGTCTCTGTTGACTGGTGTACAGAGATCCAGGCATGGAGTAAGCCATCCACTCATTTTTGTTGAATAACAGCCAATGTAGGAGATGAGACGTAAGTGAGCCAAGTTTAATCCCTGGGTTGGGAAAATCCCCTGGAGGAGGGCAACACAACCCTCCACAGGATGTCTGGAGAATCCCAAGGACAGAGGAGCCTGGCGAACTATGGTCCATGGGGTCGCAAAACATTGAACATGACTGAAGCGACTTTGCATGCACCCACACAGAATGACCTCAAAGTGGTTACTGTCTAATGATGTGTGACAGTATTTTTCTTCACTGTTCTATGACTCTGGGACCGTGCATATATGTTTCTCCTAATGCAACTTTTACAAGCCAGGAGCTCCATCATTTCAAGTAGATACTGATTAAATTTTCAAGGAGATAATGATGATTTTCTACTGGTTATATCTGAATAGGGTCAAAATATTCTTTTAACATGGGAAGACCTGATTACTATTTCAAACTCCACCCCTTAGCTGTGTGAATTTGTGCTCCCATTTCCTCACTGGTGAGACAGGTATAGAAACCTTCTCTAAGGGTGACTAAGAAGATTATGTGAGATAATGCACATGTAAGCAGGGTGGCTGACATATGGCAAATCCATAAGAAATGTTGGGTTTGTCGATTTTAGACTGGGACCTTAAGTCAGCACTTTAGCATTATCAATACAAAAAGGCAGAGCAAGCATTTACAAGCTAGAGTGGTTGTTCAGAGGGATGGACTGGGATGGGACGTGAGATAGAGAGGGAAGCTTAAGAGGACAGACACTGAGATTCTTATCATGGTGACTGGCCCTTGTTGGGGAGAAACTCTTGAATATTCATTCATTCATCCTATGCTTTTGTCAAGACAGAAAATTACCAGATTATCTTCCACCAGTATCACCTTCTGGTGTTGGCACAATCTGCTCAAAAAAGCCTTTGACATCTATGATTCTCAACTGGCCCCAAAGTGTCACCCTGAAGGCATCTCGTATGGTCTAGGAGGCATTCGTTCTCACAGGGTGGCGCCAGTCACATCTGGTGGGAAGAATCCAGGGATGCTGCTAAACATCCTACAATACACACAACAGCCCTTGTAGGGAGTTCTCCAGCCCAAATGTCACTGGTGCTGAGGTTGAGAGGTTCTGCGTTGCATTAAAAGTCCAGCTATTTTATTCTAGAGGGACCAGTTAACCTGGGAAAAGGGAGAGAAGCCCTTTGCTCTTCTACTGCTGCCCATCAGAACTACTGTCTGGAAGCTATTAATAGTATGGGACTGATGCTACCTGAGTGCTCAAGGGAAATCAGTACGTCTCTGGTTTTGAGAGAATGAGCGATATGAAGGCACCATTATCACCTGCCAGTATTTCAAGAGCTTCAGCCGAGATAAGAAATGCAGAAGCGTCAGAAAACGCTCAGCTAAGCACGTGATCGGTAAGAAGACTGCAGGACATGTAAAGACTCCACAGAAGACAGAAGAAACATGTGTCCTTCACCAGAATTTCACCATGGTCACTGATAGATCCACTTTAACTGCAATGTAAGTTTTAGGAGCAAACCTCCTTTGGTAGGAACTTTCATTCTTTTAAAGAAAATGACCTCCAACTGTGAAGTTAACCAGTGTTTAGAAATCTATTCATTCAGTAAGTATTTATCAA